TAAAATCGGAAGGTCCTGTCAAGGGTCAATTTGAAGTTTTAACGAAGAAATTTTGGGGTGAGCTACTGTAAAAATTTTTTTACGATGTCACTCGATGCAGATATTTTTAACTGAAAAGAAATATACGATATTGTAACAGGTAAGGTGTCTTTTGTTTTGAGACTGAATTAAGTAAGAAACAATAATAATTTTGAATTGTTAAAATAATGAGGTAGAAATCGGGAAAAATCTATCGTCGGCGCATTTAATTTTGAACGAAAAAAAAATTAAAGGATGTGACGTCACATTCATTCTTATATTCAGTAAGCTGGATTCTAGCATCCTTCATATTTCCAAAGTACAAAATCGATCGCTTTATGCATTAAATCCAACACTGTTCCCCAGTGAACACAGATCACTAAACGGAAAACGTGTGTGGGTCTCGTAAGAGTTACAAGGCAGACTAGTTCCATCTCTCGGCATGTTTGTGCATCACGTAGCTGAAAGGCCACTTCTTTTGTTTATATTCCACGCGAGCAACATAACCTCACATAACTATAAATCATTTGCGTTAATGGGTCAACATGTGATTTGCAACAATAATTATACCTTATTTACCTGTGTATTAAACGCAGAGAACTTCAACTTAAATCTCGTATTCTTTTGTTTCTATTGGATGTACGTACAGTTTTTAATCTTGCCGACAAAATTGGTTGTTAATTTCCCCGAAGACCGCTCAAGGCAAAACTCAGTGAGAATTAGATTCAACTTCGATGACATAAAGACTGCTTTCTTGTTTGTAATAAAGCAACTTGATTCAGAGACGATCTGTTTTAAGTCTCTGCTTCGTTGCACACTTAATAGACTACAGTATAGCGTAAACATAGTTTTTATATGCACTGGGAAACCAAAAAATTGTGTGACTCGCTTTATTGCGGTGGTCTGGAACCGAACCCGCAATATCTCCGAGGTACGCCTGTATTACAAAATGTGTAGGTGTCTCAAACGTGATGAAGTCGATATTTTTTTGTTTCAAAATATTTATTGGAGATACGCTGGAATTCGGCGTCGTTTAATCAAGACGTCTACGTGGCGGACAATTACAGTGTTGCCACATCTTACATTAAAAACACGTTATTCCATTTGTAATACAAGAAAAATTTTAAAAATCTGGGACGAAAATTTGATGAAGTTGTATCAACTGCATAGGTTGAGGTGATATGGTTGAAGGATTCAGAAAATCCAAGTGGCAGTTCGGCGAAGTGACTAGGTGGACAACCAGCGCCTTTTATGCGTCCAGATCACCTCTGGAACCACCCAGCAAGTCGGTACCGGAAAGGAACAATGACAAGACTCCGGCACATAATTCAGAGTCTTTTACGTCCACTTCTGATTGCAGTTTCACGGCGCGGCGCTTAAAGACAGGGAAAACTTTACGTTTTACTGACGCTCAGCAACAAAGAATTTGGCTAGCTGTGAAATAATGTTTGCAGATGCACTGAACACAAAAATAAATCTGAGTGGAATTTGCGGGCAGCCAGCAATCCGCGGATCACTAGCTGCAAACCATAGAAGAAGAAGAAGAAGAAGGAGAAGGAGAAGGAGAAGGAGAAGGAGAAGGAGAGGAAGGAGAAGAGGAAGAGGAAGGAGTAGGAGAAGGAGAAGGAGAAGGAGAGGAAGGAGAAGAGGAAGAGGAAGGAGTAGGAGAAGGAGAAGGAGAAGGAGAGGAAGGAGAAGAGGAAGAGGAAGGAGTAGGAGAAGGAGAAGGAGAAGGAGAGGAAGGAGAAGAGGAAGAGGAAGGAGTAGGAGAAGGAGAAGGAGAAGGAGAGGAAGGAGAAGAGGAAGAGGAAGGAGTAGGAGAAGGAGAAGGAGAAGGAGAGGAAGGAGAAGAGGAAGAGGAAGGAGTAGGAGAAGGAGAAGGAGAAGGAGAGGAAGGAGAAGAGGAAGAGGAAGGAGTAGGAGAAGGAGAAGGAGAAGGAGAGGAAGGAGAAGAGGAAGAGGAAGGAGTAGGAGAAGGAGAAGGAGAAGGAGAGGAAGGAGAAGAGGAAGAGGAAGGAGTAGGAGAAGGAGAAGGAGAAGGAGAGGAAGGAGAAGAGGAAGAGGAAGGAGTAGGAGAAGGAGAAGGAGAAGGAGAGGAAGGAGAAGAGGAAGAGGAAGGAGTAGGAGAAGGAGAAGGAGAAGGAGAGGAAGGAGAAGAGGAAGAGGAAGGAGTAGGAGAAGGAGAAGGAGAAGGAGAGGAAGGAGAAGAGGAAGAGGAAGGAGTAGGAGAAGGAGAAGGAGAAGGAGAGGAAGGAGAAGAGGAAGAGGAAGGAGTAGGAGAAGGAGAAGGAGAAGGAGAGGAAGGAGAAGAGGAAGAGGAAGGAGTAGGAGAAGGAGAAGGAGAAGGAGAGGAAGGAGAAGAGGAAGAGGAAGGAGTAGGAGAAGGAGAAGGAGAAGGAGAGGAAGGAGAAGAGGAAGAGGAAGGAGTAGGAGAAGGAGAAGGAGAAGGAGAGGAAGGAGAAGAGGAAGAGGAAGGAGTAGGAGAAGGAGAAGGAGAAGGAGAGGAAGGAGAAGAGGAAGAGGAAGGAGTAGGAGAAGGAGAAGGAGAAGGAGAGGAAGGAGAAGAGGAAGAGGAAGGAGTAGGAGAAGGAGAAGGAGAAGGAGAGGAAGGAGAAGAGGAAGAGGAAGGAGTAGGAGAAGGAGAAGGAGAAGGAGAGGAAGGAGAAGAGGAAGAGGAAGGAGTAGGAGAAGGAGAAGGAGAAGGAGAGGAAGGAGAAGAGGAAGAGGAAGGAGTAGGAGAAGGAGAAGGAGAAGGAGAGGAAGGAGAAGAGGAAGAGGAAGGAGTAGGAGAAGGAGAAGGAGAAGGAGAGGAAGGAGAAGAGGAAGAGGAAGGAGTAGGAGAAGGAGAAGGAGAAGGAGAGGAAGGAGAAGAGGAAGAGGAAGGAGTAGGAGAAGGAGAAGGAGAAGGAGAGGAAGGAGAAGAGGAAGAGGAAGGAGTAGGAGAAGGAGAAGGAGAAGGAGAGGAAGGAGAAGAGGAAGAGGAAGGAGTAGGAGAAGGAGAAGGAGAAGGAGAGGAAGGAGAAGAGGAAGAGGAAGGAGTAGGAGAAGGAGAAGGAGAAGGAGAGGAAGGAGAAGAGGAAGAGGAAGGAGTAGGAGAAGGAGAAGGAGAAGGAGAGGAAGGAGAAGAGGAAGAGGAAGGAGTAGGAGAAGGAGAAGGAGAAGGAGAGGAAGGAGAAGAGGAAGAGGAAGGAGTAGGAGAAGGAGAAGGAGAAGGAGAGGAAGGAGAAGAGGAAGAGGAAGGAGTAGGAGAAGGAGAAGGAGAAGGAGAGGAAGGAGAAGAGGAAGAGGAAGGAGTAGGAGAAGGAGAAGGAGAAGGAGAGGAAGGAGAAGAGGAAGAGGAAGGAGTAGGAGAAGGAGAAGGAGAAGGAGAGGAAGGAGAAGAGGAAGAGGAAGGAGTAGGAGAAGGAGAAGGAGAAGAAGAAAGAGAAGAGGAGGAGGAAGGAAAAGGAGAAGAAGAGGAAGAATGCGAAGCAATGAACACGTCACGGGCAATTTAAACCGCGCTGTGTCCAAATTCCAAATGCATCGAGTCATAACATAATTCAGAGGACAATAATAAAAATGTGCATTATCATTTCAAGTTCAATTCAAGACGCGAATGACGACGCGCGCGAGAAGCAACAAAAGCATCAGAACCGGCGGCGCACTTCAAAGGCAGGGTAAGGATCGGTAAGGTACGCCCTAGTCGCTCTGGGGCTTCAAGCGGCGTCCGAGTCTGCCGTTACACCTGATCGGCGGTGGCACTTCCTTACAGATTCCTCCCTATTCACAATTAACACGAATCTCTAAACCTTACGACAGTGCTCAATGTTACGAGTGCCAAGTCTTCGATGTGAAACGTCGGTTTTCGAAACTGAATAACGCAACCAACATACATGAGGAAACCGTATCCAGCCTTGATAGACCTCTGAAACGTCTGAAAACTTTGAATTCACCGCCGTGAAAACCTCAAATCCTGCTTAAGACATGGACGGTCTTGGCCTTACCTCAAGTAGCCTCTGCCCAAAACGAAAGACGAGAAAGTTTTCGTCTCTCCTGCTAACAAACCGCGTCGACCATGCAGATTAAGGCTTTGACCGGGATGTTCTTTTGTTAAATCTTATGTGGTACCGCCTGATTCGACTTCTAATGGTTAAGTGAAGTGTTTTCTTCGCGGTACGGTCTGGATTCGTAAATATTATGAAGACGAGCTTCGGCTTCAAAGGGTTAACCAGCTGATTTTCGTAATGGTGAGGTGTAGTGTTTTCTTCGCGGTACGGACTGAATTCATAAATAATATTCAGACGATCTTCGGCTTCAAAGGGTTAATCTTGTACAGATAAAGAACTGAAAATTCCAGAAGCTGACGAAGCAAGGCTCCATTCTGGAGTTGTGTGCCGTGTACCCTGCCACGTCATCGCATCGCCCGCAATTTCCCCCTCAAGGGTGGGACCGGTCCTGCCCACGTCCGCTGCATCGTATTCCCCGGGTGGCCGCCGAGTGTCTCGACACCTTCATCTAGTTCTCGAATCGGCAGTGCAGAACCAAACGCTTAGGGCCTCGTCGGTCCATTTCCGAACCAAACATTCTCCGGTACAAACTTGTCAGTCCGTCACCACAGTTCCTTTACGCCACTCTTTGATTTCGTCCTTAGGGCGTCTGCAAATTTCGTAAGACCTCATTTAGAAAGGGGCGTGGTCGACCGGAGAGTGAGAGACTCGTGTCATTTCCAATTTATGAACGCGTGGACACTTCGTTTGAAGGTAATTAAAGATGCTGTTTCGGAACTGGATGAGATAGAGGGCGATATTTAATGACGAATTTTAAATAATCTGTAGGAATGTGTCGTACCAGTGGATATCCTCAGTCACTGGAGTTATTTTCCTTGTAATCGACCGCATTCCCAATCACGTGTCCGTTCTGCCAACGTCCTTAGAGAAAATATCCCTTCAGATGATTCAACGTTCTGAAACAACTTCCCTGGATATCAATTCGCCTCTTACCTGAAACTCGGCTGCAGGGAATAGGGAAGGTGCGTCATGTTCCCGCTGCGTCTTTGGTTGTCCATCGAGGTCGTCTGCTGTTGTACCAGGCGCACCAACAACGGCTGGTACTGGTGTTGACTGGGGGGGATCCTCTGCTGTTGGTGTGGCGTGTTCCCCGTAAGGTCCTGCAGAGGAATTACGTCGCCGTGCGATGGGTTGCTACGCCGATTGCCTCCGCCGATGGTGACAGCGTTTCGCTGTTCTCTGGTCGTCCGAAGAGCTCGTTTTCTGCGTTTCACATTGCGACGAACACAGCACTGGACGGAGAGTAGCAGGGTGCACACCATGGCTATCATGCACCCGATGTACACCAGCACCAGTAGGTCACCACCGCGCGACTGGCTTCGCAGAACTCCGCCGGCGATGGTAAGGGACACCCCGGTCAGGATACCGGCGATGAAGATCACCTGGTGACGGGGCAGATGACACAACGTCTTCAGTAGATAGTGGCAACCAGAAGGTAGGACGGAAATTGGACGAAGGTAGAGAGACGGAGAGGAAATTGTGAAATAAAGGAAGAAGATGAAGGGAAAGGAAAATGAATAAAAGTAAAGGAAAGGAAAGGAAAGAGTAACAAAGGAGAAAAAGTTAAAAACTAAGAGAAATGCCAGAAGATGAATGGAGAAAATCACGACCATGAAGAGAGTTTCATCGTAATTTTCTCTCGTATCCTGCAGGACTTAAAATGACGAGTAACGCACCGCAGACGCCATGAATCAATGCACGCACCTGAAGGCAATAGTAGCAGAAGTTCTCGAAGGCTACGCAGTGACCGCCACACCCATCGACCGCGCCACCACTTCCGCCGCCCGGGGAGCTTGCTGGAGTCACAGGACGATCCCTGTCTGAGGGCGCCCTCGAGGACGACGAGTAGTGTTGAGACTTGGTGATCGCCGCGGTGCCTGAGGCGTGAACCAGTAGCGGGTTTGCGGGCCCCGATGAATGAGGGCCTTCCACAAGAGCTGTTGGCATAAAAGGTTGGTGCTCTCACGCCACCACTACACCAGTAATTGCGGGACATCGTGATCTGAGAATCCCCCGCCCTTAATTCGTGCACGATTACTCTTACCCTGGACTACAAAAGGCCAATTTTCTTCCAAAAGAATCACATCTTTGCTTACCTTCTACTTGGTCCGCGGGCTGAAAGTGTCCTCCACTGCGGAGTTGCTGGTGGTTGTAAGATATCATGGCTCCCGGAGGCTCCGGATGACCGTGTGTCAGCCATAACGAGGAAGGCGGTCCAGGACCGCGGTGTTGCTGATGTTGGTGATAGGTCCGACTGCTGGACGAGCTGTTGGTGGACTGAGACTCGCGGCATTCCAGCTGTTGTTGTTGTTCCGATATCCAGGGGTTCCTATGACAACAAAGTCTAACAATTCAACATCCAGGGCCCCATGGCAACAAAATACTAAGCAACCCTGAACAAAGACGTTAACATCCAGGAAGCTGTTACGCCCCGGCGGCGCTTTGCCCCCAGGAATGGACCCGGTACCCACTGGACGGGAGGCTGGGTGGGCCCCGGACGCAGAGGCGTCCCTCGTTCCAAGTAGTCTACCCGAAGAACCAGATATACCTCGAGCTGTGGATGTTACCAAATAGCGTTCCACTCCATAATTCTGTGTGCATTCCTTGTGTCTCGGATCACAGACTTCTTACACGTCAGTTTGCTTCTGATGTCCAAATATTTACTGAAGCACTTAGCAATTTTGTTTTTAAAAAAAGAATCAACGTGTGTGTTCGTCCATCAATGAATGAGACCAACACAAAACAAGTTTAAGACTTGCCTAAATGTTCTGCACCCTTTAGTAGAAGCAAAATACACCTCATGGGGCCGTCCATGTCAGTCCGTCCGTCTGCCGCTTCTGTGATTACATTACGTTAGGTTGGGTTTTGTTGTTTTAGTCTCGATTCAGAAACGTTAAATTACAATAAATGATGCGATTTGAAGTTGGAACCTGGAATTTCGAACACGGAGATCGTGAACTTACATTTGGATTATGAAATTACACCAAAAAAAAAATTGAGACTTTCAAAATCTTGAAAAATTTTAAAATTATTAGTCTAAAAATGTGGAAGTTACAGATTATTTAACATTTCGTGTATTCTTGTATTTTTTTTTAAAAAAAATGATATTATTTAACATTTCGTGTATTCTTGTAATTTTTTTTAAAAAAAATTGAATTTTTTAAAATTGTGTTCTCAAATTTTTAAACTCTGTAAATTTTGAAATTCTTTTTCAAGTTTCAAAAACTCTGATTTTTAAAATCTTGAAAATTCTTTAGGTACTGGAATTTTTAAATGATGGAACACTTTTAATTTTAAATTTGAATTTTGACAGTTTTGGAATTTTTTTTTAAATTCTGAAATGTCATGCTATGTGGTAAATGTTCAAATTCGAACATGGAAATTGCGAATTTCTTACTTTTGGATTTTGATAATTATGAGGGTTTAAAACGCTTGGCTATCGTATTTGATACAAATTATACCATTTTTGAATTTGTTATTCCATTGTTTGCCCTGCTGACGTCATCACCCGTAGAGAACATCTTTGGAATTTTACTTTATTCTAGAATTTGTGATTCTAGTTAGTTTGTTAGTCAGTTAGTAGAATTTTTTAATTTTCCAATCTTGTCATTTATTACATCCTGATGTGTTTCGTGCTACGTCATGAAAACGGGTCATTTTTTTCTGTTATTCAATTTGATTGATCATCGTTCATTATTCTAAAACAAGACAACCACATTTCGGGAGCTAACTCTGCCCCTCCCGCTCCCCCCAAGGTAAAATTACATATTCTGTTGGGTCCAGAACATGCTCATCGATCTCGTTTTCGAGTAATGATCGATGGATCGAGACGAGAAACCGAGAACATTGAACGTAACGCAGAATCCTTAGAAACTTTGTAATTACTTTGTAGATATTCTGATACACTGAAATAACAGCCTTATCAGTCCGAGTGGTACGAGAACGTGCGAGATACGAACAGTAAAATTAAGAAGGCTGTGCCAAATGTTAACACGCAGTCAAACACTAACTTGTGTGTAGCTACGAAGCTCGCAAAGTAAACATCGACATGTCGTCATCTCGGAAAGCAAACTACAAAGCGAATACCAGCAGCTCACAGTTCAAACAGCTCTGCTTTGTCCTGGGGGAGTGGCGGCGGACAAGATCCAAAGAGGACGAACACAGTCACGTCGTGTTAGAGAATTCTGCTAACACCGAAGTATGACGAATAATAACAACCCCGAACATTGTGTTATACCTGGCAAGACCGACACCTCCGTTGGCAGCAATGCTCCGTGTTTTAGTCAACACTTTCTGTTACAAGGGAAACCAAATTGTAATTCTGAAGCTTTTATTATATACGAGGTGCAATCGGAAAGTTTCAAGACTGTGTCAATAGAGGGCGAACCGGATGTAGTACGAGCTTCTGCCGCTAGGGGGTGCGGCCTACATTCATAGTGAATCAGTGTGCCAGCCGGCATCATCGAATTAGCATTTGTTTCTTAGTTACGGGCGTTTTGGTAGTGCATTACACCGACCCTCCTGCGATTTCGGAATGGCGTGTGCATCAAATTTTGCCAAAGACTCGCCAAAACGGCTACGGAAACCTATTAAATGCTCAAGCAAGCATTTGGGGAGTCCGCAATGGGTCGTGCACCAACTTTTGTGTGGCATTCACGTTTTAAAAATGGCCGAACCTCTGTCGATGATGACGAGCGTTCTGGACGACCATCTTCGAGCACAACGCCCGAAAATGTTACGAAGATTCGGCAGGCCATTCACGAAGATCGACGTCGTACCATCAACGACTTGTGCGACATTGTTGGGATAGGCTATGGGACCTGTCAGCTGATTCTAAAGGAAGAACTCCACATACGACGCATCCAGAAGCAGAATCGACTTCTCGTTTGTTAGGAGCTCAAAGATCTTGCAAGAACCGACCCCAACTTCCTTTTTAAGCTCCGTGTGACTTCTTCCTCTTCCCAAAGATGAAAATTCAGCTAAAGGGAAGGCGATTTGAGACGATAGAAGAGATTCAGGCAGAATCGCAGATGGTGCTTGACAGGCTGGCAAAGAAAGATTTCCAGGGATGCTTCCAGGCTTGGCAGCGGCGCTGGGATCGTTGTGTTCACTCCCAGGGGAACTACTTCGAGGGTGATGGATGAATTTAATACCTGAGATAAGTGTACGGGTTTTTATAGGCGCAGTCTTGAAACTTTCCGATCGCACCTCGTATAACACACGGACTGCAAATTCTTCGACACATGTTTGGCCAGACAAGTACCAGTTACCTTCATGTTTACTGTACATCCAAGTAGAGGTTACATACAGGTGTCCCAAGATGTACACACACATTCAATGAATTAAATAAAGACACGTTAATAAACTAAACCATTACGTGCATTAGCAGTCGCACTTAGTGAATTAGCGAATCTAGCGTACGTTTTCGAAACTACCTCTGTCGGCTTCGTGGCGCAGACGACAGCGGCAAGCAACCGAATTAGAAGCGGTCACGAAAGAATTATTTTCTGGACACCCTGTATGACATTTCGGCAGTAACTGAATATTCTTACTGTGTCAAACCATCAAGAAACACCTGTATTTATTGTCTTGAAAACGGCTCCCAGCATGTTTTTGCATATTAATTGCCTTCTATAAGAGTTGTTTCGCTAGCTGCACGGCGCAGAGATCTCCGTAAGAAGCTAACAGTCACTCAGCTGGCCAATAAAACTCCCCCCCCCCACCGGAAGATTCATTACCATATTCAGTAAAGACCATCACAAGTTCGTATTCTGAGCCAGATGAAACCAGATACATCCTCTCCTCTAAAATCCATTTTAATATTATCTTTGTGCAAGTTGTTTCATATTTCCGACAATATAAGCATGCATCAACCACACGAAACTTCCTTGATTTGATTCCACAAACAAAATTTGGACAAGACGGCTGATTAGTCTGACGGAAGCTCATCGCCCTGACGATGGAGGCAGCAAGAACTTATGAAACGTCGGTAATCATCTAACAGACTACTACCTGAAATCTCGCATTATTTGAAGAAGAATATGAATAATAAACTTTGTAGGGCACAGAACCGAAGGGCAAAGTCCATTTCCAATCCACATAATAATCGAATGCATTAGGTTTCATTAATGAGAGAACATTTCTTATTAAAGTTTGTAAATTAATTAACAGTCATGATTTGTCATATGTGTTCTGAAGGTTATGCGATAATCGGTGCGTCCCGACTTGATCGCGCGACGCAAGACTGCACGCACGAACGCACGCACGCACAACAAAGTGTTACTTAGAATGAACGATGAGGCGGGCCAGTAATCTATTTAACCAGACTGACGTGATCGCGAACTCGGAGTGTCGACTCGTCAACAAATCACGTTCACGACGCCAGAGACGCCGACTTAAAAGATTTCATGTCGAGATCGTCAAAGCGAGGTGAAACACGCTTAAGGCAGGCAGATCTATCTTACTGTCTAATGATTATGATTTATAAAGGGGTGTGATGATCCAGAAAATCATCACAGTTAGATTTATGTTCTGAAAAACTGGAGATTACGGTGGACAACCAGCGCCTTTTATGCGTCCAGATCACCTCTTGGACCACCCAGAAAGTCGGTACCGGAAAGGAACGCTGACAAGTCTCCGGCACATAATTCCCTTAAGGCAGGCAGATCTATCTTACTGTCTAATGATTATGATTTATAAAGGGGTGTGATGATCCAGAAAATCATCACAGTTAGATTTATGTTCTGCAAAACTGGAGATTACGGAAAGTCCAAATGCATGGACAGTTGTATTCAGAAAATATGACGAGACCACTCGAAAGATATTATTAAAAAGGATCTTACACAAAATGGGTGTAAAGAAGTGAGATGGATTAAACTAGCCATTATTGCTAATCGATTTGTACGCAACGTCAACACCGCAGATAATCTAAATAAACACGGCAGTTATCAAAAGTGGACACAAATGAAAAACAGCTGACGCATGAACCCGCGGTAGTCAAAATCGCGGTTAGCGGATGGTCGAACGGGGGGTGGGGTTGCATTCAGGAGCAATGTACTTTTAAGGCGTCTGTCTTTTACCGTCAACTTTTTTTAGTCACCCTGTACTACACTACTCATTCCTGTAAACCTAACTTCCAAGCATGGAGACAAAGATTATGAAATAATTGTACTCATACAACGCAGTTATGTTGTTTATGTTTTTGTGTTAAATGAGAAAAATGGCGAATAGAAAAAATTCTTATCGAATAATAATAATAATAATAATAATAAATGTAATTAAGAATGAAACGAAGAAGATCTTGAAATAGAAGGACCTTCTCATTGAAATACAGCGAATGTAGAAAGTGAAAGCAAAAGTAATCCCAATAATTATAGGAGCAACTGGAACTGTCTCCAAGTCACTCAGAAAATATTTGGCCAACATCCCGGGCGAACACGACGTCAGGGAACTTCAGAAGACCGCCATTTTGAGATCTTCATACGTCATTCGAAAGACGCTGTCGTAAAATGTTTAGTAATCTCTCACAATAAAACTATATAATACATGTAACACATATTAAAAACAAAATTTATTTCAGAAATACCTCAGAGGCTAGGTTTTTCTCAGGTACACAGAAGTAAATACCCTATAAAGTGGTGAATAGATGGGATGATAATCATTATTATTATAATGTTTGTAAAAAAAACTAGCATTACTGCTGATCCAGAATGAACTAATCCAATTTCCAGTGCTTAGGACCAAGGAGAGAAACAATTATGGTCAAGTTATCTTGCGGAAAAAAGGGCACAGACTTCCGAAACGTCCTACAATAAAACTTCTAGAATGCACACTACGATATAACCGATATTATCCTAGATCAGCTTTATGTGACCTAAACTGGGGCAAACTTCTTACATTCTGTCGTGTGACGTCGCCAGTAATGTTAAAGGTTTTCGCGTTAATAAGCGATAAGTGGCTATTCCTAAACTTAATTAAAATGCAAACTTCGCATACGACTCTAAAATGTTTACTCTCTCAATCACAAAACCTACTTTTTTTTGCAAAGAGACGAGCACCATTCCGATCTGCCGAGTTATCATGAAAAATCTTCTCACCATTTAAAACTAAGTGGTAATTTTACGTGTCATTAACATTCAATAACAGAAGTGTTTAAAAGGTTTCACGTGATTCTCAGAATAAACTGTTATTATGTCCATAAACAACTTTAATAAACTTCGTTTTTCGAAAGTACATAAGTCGTTTTCTTTTAGGTACGCGTTGAATTTTTAAATATTCTTCTGACGGCATTCATGTTTAAACTAAAAAGATCTACGACTCTGAACTTCACGGAAAGTTACTAATTGCGTTCTAATATTGTAGCAAAAAGACTGTGACGAAGATAAGAATCCTAGCATGCCGAGACTCGAACCCCCAGACCCCGTAATAGACGCGTGTTAGGTTCGTGGTAAAACAGCGCCCTGTTCTGAAACACGCGCAAACAATCAGAGTCCTTACCTGAGTTGTCGATGCCCTGTCGCAGGCGGCTCGGTGCTGCTCGTGTAGCGGGGATACCTGGACATTGCTCACTCTCATTGCGCCGATATCACCCTTGCCAACCTGAAAACAAGACATTAATCCGTCATTTCCCGCCAAAAAAGAACCTAACCTAACATTTCTCTTCTCGGGAACGCTGTCAATCCTCTACGTGAAAAACCCTACTATGTAAGACATCTGTCTTGTGGGCTGTGGCGCTATGTAGTCACGTAGAAGTTTACCGACGTTTCGGAGGTCGTTGATGCCTCCATCATCAGAGTGATCATCGATTCTACTTTACCCTACTATAGGATTACTACTCGCTAACAAAATAGTTCGAAAACATCCACACACGACAACAAATACGTTAGTCAGAAGGTCGATATGTCGGACACTTCTAGAATAAGTTTAAAAATAAATTCAATCCGTGTCTGAGCGTCGAGGACAGACTGAAACGAATCATTTATCTTAACTCTTTTAAGCCTAAAACCCAGAGAAAATATTAGGAAGTAGGTGGAGTAATGAAAGACACTGTTCTAAACAGGGGTCGGGAAGAACAGAGATAAATTTACGGCTATGAAGGTTCCCAGGCACTGCCCACTCGTCCTTCTGGTAGAGTTAGCTCGTAGGGTAGGGTAAAGCGTTTGGAAGTGGATAAGGTAAGTCGATCAAAAGGTGAGCAGGTTATTAACTGCATTCGACCGGAATTTTGAATTTTGATATTAAACTTCGGATGGAATTTTGATGTTGATATATGTGGTAGGGGGATATTTTTTATGGTTTTATTGGGAGGACTGCAAGAGAGGCATCCAGTGCGACGTGGAATTTTGGGTACCAACTCGGCATTTGCTTCTTCGACCGAAAAATATACGGGGTTAGCCTGTCGCGGGGGATTCCTAATGCCTACTGACTTCTAGCCAGAAGTCTTCGACATTTAAACACGCGAGCCCTGACGGTAACTTATTTTTGGCTATTATTTCGAAAATGACCCATGTTCATAGGATTTTTGATCCTGGAACACGCACACGAAGTATGTAAACATACGTCTGACTCACCCTGTATATATGTGCACTTTTTTAAAAAAAGGTCTTGTTGCTACTGGGCACTGAAGGATTAAAAATATATGTGACAAAATAATCGTGTTTGGAAACATTTAAATGGAGCTGAGAATTCCACGTTCCTTAAGCGAAAATAGTTCTGCCATATCTTGCCCCGTAATGCAGATTGGTCTGTCGAAGAAATTCAACGGCGATTTAAAAAAGAAAGTTGAACCTGGAATAAAAATGATTCTGTCCCGTTCATGCGTCTAAGAGAACATTCTTTCTGGGGAATTGAGCGCATCTCTCGCCCGGACACGTTGGCCAGCAACTGGACCAGGGCAAACTCTTCATCTTCGTCGTCCAAACCGATGGAATGACCTACCGCGGGCTTCGCTGGGTTGCGTGTTCGACGAACAGGTTCCTCGTATAATGATTTGTGCTATCTCTAACGACTGACTCGTGGAGGATGTGGAAGGAAGTGGCCAAAGCCTAATTTACGGTACTATCCCTCTGTCCGCCTGTAGAGACTTTCGGAAACCCATGAAGACAGAGCAGCCGGTCTCCGGGAAAAGATTTGAACCCGAGACCTCCAGAATACGATCCTGGTGTGTCAGACCCTGCATATAACGGAATTTGCACTGACCAAAAATCGGTTTTGTTAAATAACTTAAATGCTTTGCGGAATACGGATTGAAAACGTTGTAAATTATCTCTAATAAATAAAACAACATTACAAAAGAAAGAACCTGTTTTACAGTTTCTCTAAGCAAAAAATGTTTTTTCCATAATGTTCTCCCTGGAATGCAGGCTACCTTAAAGGAACAGTTTTAACAAAATTAGGAACTGAACCGGTTACAGAGAAGAAATGTCGAAAAATTTCCCTTTGGTGCCTTACGGGATAAAAGAATCCCCACTGTTTAAAACAAATACACAGGCCTACAAATCCTATTTTACACGAACTTATGACATCCCACGGCCTAATATTAATCATAACTAGTTACTATCAAAACTTAAACTGAATGCAAACGAGGAGTCCCTCAGAAGGTCACAGGAAGATCATCTAGGTTACATTACCGCGTTCACAAGAACCGACCACTGGAGCCAGACGAGTCCAATCCACACCCTCCATCCCTGTTTCTCTACGAGTCATTTCATCCAATTAAATTAGCCCATGACTAACAAAGATGAATTGTTAGTGATAGTTATTATTTATTTAGTGTTCTGTCTGACGACAGGTCCATATGAACAGGATCCTTCCATCCTTTTCTCGGACTGGGACCTGTTCATATACGTTCTTGGCAGATGATCCAGAAGTGGTTTGCCATTGCCTTCTTCTGTGTGTGAATGGAGTAATTGTTGGGATGCCACGGAGGAAAACTCCGTGTTGCCTAGACCACGGTCTTGCCCAACACAAGTTATAAATTCGGGCACCGCCGGCAATCGAACCCGAGACCCCCAGGATTACAAGGCCAGCGTTCTAACCGCTAGACCACCGTGGCGGTAGTGATAGTTAATCAAACCAGAATAAAGAGATAAATACCAATAATAATATGAAAATATTTTTACCATTACATTACTACGAAGTATAAAAAATTCATGTCATTAAATGCGAGGTTCAATAAATCACAACAGCTGGTATGAACCATAGACGGGAAGTGTCGTATAGTCATTATAAGGGCCACCCTTCATTTCAGTGCAACTGTACCCTATACATCTTACTACAATCGAAATTTTGAGACTTCCGAAAAAATAATGGCATTGGATCTGAGGGGAACACAACAATAAAACAGCATTATCACCGTCATATATCACCGGGCCACATCATCACCGTATGATCCGCATTTGCGTTGAAATACGTCCGGTAGATTGGGGTGACATCATCGAAAACTACCCCTACACTGCTCACATTAACTGGTGACTGCCTTTAGTCGAGGGGAAATACCCCTCCACGTAATTACCTCTCCCATTTTCCCACGTCCTTCTGAGGAATACATTACGAATATAATTTTGTACATTGTGACAAACTGTAATGCCTACAGGAGGCATTCGATTCTAAAGCATACTTAATGCCATGAGACTAGTACGTCTAATCCATTAAATAACATTAATAATTATTCTCCCCAAATAGGTTTACGTCAGTCATAGAACGGCGTACGGTACACGTGCCCTTAGCCGGAAAGCCTGGGACCTTACACTTCGAATTTTCCGGATTTTGTACTTTCGTACAGAGGAATTTAAATACAGAAAACATTTTATGTGTTGAGGCGCGATTTATCTACAATTCACAATTCGTTCTTTTAACAGAAATATAAAAACCCTCTGAAATCTGGGGCGGTGGAGTTTTCATCATCTGTAAAACGCCTCAACTCTTCGCACGTGAAGCGAGCTCTAATGGCAGGATGACCTTGAACAGTAGCGCCACTCGCACATGGTGGTGAGTCAAAGAACCTCAAAGCACCAGTTTTAAACGTCACCTGCACAGGAAAATCACTGAGAAAAAGAAAAGATTTTGTTCCTGCTGGAATTTGGAATGCAGGAAATATGTTGAGACACTATTTTTTAAATAACCAAGTAGTTAGTATGCTACTGTTCTAAATACATGCGCCAAAGGATAACAAACGGGGGGGGGGAGCAAATTGGACAAATTCCTTTAGTACCACATGAACGTGATAGGAGTACGTAGAATATATTTTCAAAATGAGAATTTTGAACGACAGGTTACATAAAATAGTAATGCAGTGGTGTTAACAGCAGCAAATTACTCCACGTTAAAAAATCTAGTAAAGATTACGATGTTCCTACATCGAGACAGTTCTCCTGATTACGTGACAACGTAATTCGGTTCAAGCCACGACTATTACAGGAACTGACTTTGATCTTACAAAATTTAGGAGGCGGTTCATAAGGAAAACGGGCAACTCGAAAGTTTTATAAAAAAAGGATTTTAATATAAAGAATGCGACCGATTTGGAAGTTAAGAGACAATGTCTGGTGCGTTTAATTTTAAGAATTGTTTGAAACAAGGACAAAAGATTATCTTCCAAAACGTAATCTCTTCTTTTCTGCTTAAATAAAACACGTACCAGACCCACACGATCATATTAAGGACGTTTTCAAAACTTATATAATACTTACATAAAATTAACGCGTCATAGCTCATCGAGAGAGTTAAGGACGCACTTCTGCTCGTGGAGTACAGCCCCATCCATCTGTAAAGCCTATGAATTGCCTGCTTTAAGCCAGAAAACGGGGCAGTGAAATGCGAGTTCCATAGTTCGATCCTCGGTCAGTGCCAATGTAACAACGATGTTCAACGGCCCTCGTTCATTCATCATCTTAAGAGACTGGGGGGATGTTCGTATCTCGGTCAGGAACTGAATATCCAACGAAGACAAATCAGAAATTCGAAACCAGCCTGAACAGAAGTTTAACAAACAAACCCAATCCAAACTAAGTAACCACCGCCTTCTCAACAAACGACGATGTCAGAGTCTTCAAACATTTCGCAAATCCCCAACAGCATCCCAGTAAAAGGTTCAAGAGCTCTTGAGACAAGAAACAAACCTTGTCAAAAATTTAAACCTTCTACATCTGAAAATTTTAAAACTTCCTCTCTCTCTCTCTCCCCCCCCCCCCCTGTCCCCAGTCTTAGCGCATTTTCCATTAAGACATGGCCTCATATATTTAAGCGTTAAACCAACAACTCCTCACTCATCCTCCAAGAAAACACAACAAACTTTTACTGAAATAAACAAAACTTTTCCTCTTTCGAAAGTTGGCAAAATTGAAACATTCTCCACACCCATCTGCCTTACATTTAAAGACCCATTATTTTGACAGTGATAATATGAAGGCTGAAAGAACCGGGTGTTTCTTGTCAGAGAGTTGACAAGGGTAGCTCGAGGGATAAGTACAGCCAGGCAAACAGGGGGAGAACAGAAAATGACTGTTCAACTGCGGTGCTATATAAGAGGGTGTCTGCTTTTTGTCACCAGTCGAATAGGGGTCGTGACAAAAGTGAGGGGTGGTTTTATTTGAAGAAAA